CATTCACAGTACGATCTGAACAGCTCGCAAATCTCCTGCCCAACATATTACCACGCCTTTCCAATCTTCTTCAAACTTTTCTCGCTCAATACTCAATATCATCATTTTAGTGATAATATAATATGATATGCGTTACCTTGGTCATGCAGTTACTGAAATTCTTAGTGAGAATTTCAGGAAGATGTACTTCCTGAAATTCTCACTAAGAATTTCAAGCCAAGGTAACTGAATTTACCTACCTTAACCATCCTACTACCGTTCAAACATACATCATGTACAAAATCTAGTCCTTTTTGTATTTGAAAACCATAAGAACTGTGGTCTTAATGTTATAAATCAAACCGCGTAACTTTACATATTCTTTATAGATAGAAATTAGTTTCCTCAACCCTCTAATCGAAGGGTTGACCAGCACCATATTGTCTGCAACTTAGATTATTTGTTATTAATTTGTTAAATTAATAACAAATTGAAGGAGAGCTTTGTGCAATACGTGCGGTATTAGTCTTGAAAAAACAAATATACGCGATTTAAATCCGGAAAAATAGTTTCATTTCCTAATTGATTTTGACTTTCTTGCCTATTTGTTAAATAGTTTTCAGTAATTGTAAGTTTCTTAAATATTTCACATCTGAGACGAAAAAGTCGTGCGCTTGGTGGTAAGCTACACGCCTGTCCATAACAGTTGCAATGCCACTCATAGCTTAAAATCGCAAAGATCTGAGGAGCACTGCCACTGTGCCCGTCACCCTGAGACATAAGTTGACAAGTCCCATGTGCCTGTAATTTCACCAGCACCCTTACCCTTCAAAACCGGAACACAGCCATGCTGACGTTACTGCTTGGCGGCAGTAACGTCAATAATAAATAGGTAAGGTGACAGTACTATCCTGGACGAACTCTTTCACAGGGAGCTCTACTACTTAAGTATAAAAGTAAAGTAATAATTCTTAAAACAAAATCATTGAATAAAAGTCACACCATGGTCCATTGCAATTGCGTTGTTTGATGTTTCAAATGTGATGACTAACCAATTCAATATAAATACCGTTAACTCTTACAAACTACACTATATAAACTTAACACTCTCCTAATTCACGTTTTACTACATTTAAATCGCTTAATGCATCAAAATGAAGCACTCTGCGATTATAATGGCCCATCAAAACAAACGTACAGTCGCCTGTCAATGTCGTTAGACACGTAAGTTTTAACGATTGTATGGTCGACTGGAGCAAATTGTTGGCAATATCGTTTAATATCGTCTGTATTAATAACGATAAAGACGTCTGAACATAACGATAATGGAGCCATGATAAGCAGTATTTTCTGTTCCTTTTAACAATGTCATTTTTAATTTTTCTTTAATTGTAAGCGTCAATTGCTTTGATAATAACTCAATAAAATTTGTTTTTTCTTTTTATTTTGATGCTGCCCGAGATCATTTGTTATCTATCTATAGATAGATAGATAACACACGTTATTGCTCACACAAAAAAAAAACAAAAACAATACGAGACAATCTTTGAGGCAGAGGCGTACTGAACAAAGAGGGACGTAGTGAGCCAGTGGTAAAAATTTAAAAGCATTATTAAAACCTTACGTTATCACATTATGAAATAATAAATGACCATGATATTACAAACCTACATATATATTTCTTTACATATATAAATATACTTCTACTTCCTACTAAATATACAGACTAAGTTGCAGACTAAAATCGAGCCAGAAAATGCTAACGCAATGCAGTTTTAAATATAGGAAGCGATCAAAAAGGGTCAGACTTCAGACGAGAGTTTGTTTCATAGATGTGCCGTACCGTGTTTCTTACCCAGCTACTGAAGCCTTGTCCTATATTCGAACATATAGTCGAACTTGCGCAATCCGTATATAAATCTGATGCACAGTTTCTGTAATCGCTGGAGTTTGCTTCAAAGATCCTCATTGAGGACAATGACGTCTACATCAGCATAATCCAGTACACGTAATAGCATAATTTGTACTTTGCATTTAGTTTTTTTTTTATTACTTTTTATTTTTTCAGATTCAGTTAGTGTTTTTTAAATTATCATTTTATTTTCAGGTTGTTTTGGCAAGTTGTGTTAACTATAATAATCATTTTACATTGAATCACTGTTAAACAAAACCAATTGTACTGGTCAATCCTGTGTTGTAACAAGGAAAAGCGGAACTCCAATCACATGAGTATTTACTTAAAACGAATTTCAAACTCAGACTTGTAAACTAGTAATGTTAAAGTAAGTAAATATTATTATTATTTATTTATTTCATTAGATAGATCTCCGCCACATTCAATTATTGTATGTACTATTATAATCATTGTAAGAGCAACGGTAAATAAATAAAGATGACAATTGTAACTGAATTTGTTAACAATTTTATTTCCATTTAAATGATCGTTTTGTTTTTGCCATAACCCTGTCTCAAACAAATTGTTTACACAATTTCATTCAAATCAAACAAGCGTTAACCTCAAAATTCCTGCCATAACCACAATACACAAACATAGAATGTCAAGCGCGTGTCATTCAATTGTTTTTGTTCTGTTGCTGCCATTAGTGGTTTGCAATGTTGCCACTATAAAAAAAGTTTCACTAGCTCCAAAGTGGCACGACATCATAAAACGAGGTTTGTTCCTATATAGACGGATCAAGGCAACACTGCATTGTCGTTCCTTTTTGTTTTGTAAGATTTGCTTGTGTTTTGCTAAGATAACTATTATTTATATATAAATCAAATTCAGAAGAGTTCAAATTTAATTGCACCTGCGACTTGTCACGTAACGTAAGGTCAATGTGCTCAGCCATTAATCTGCGAGGTCATCTAAAATTGAACTAGATACAAATACATGACCTTCACGTGATGTGAAGTTCATCAAACTGCAATATGTATTTGTCTCTTCAGCGGCGAACATTCAGCGATAATAAGTCAATAAACACAATTGATTTTACATTTAGATGCATTGCCTTTTGATCAGGAGAGCCCGTAACTTAACAATTTGTATAAGTACAAGTGAGACCACCCTTGAAACCGTCTTATCTAATTTTTTTAAGAGTCTTTATTAGGACGTTTTAAGTCATAGTTTCGCCACTACGTAAATTTCATTCGTTCGTGTTGAGAATGCCCAGATTATCTATCGACCTTCACGAAGAAAGAGTTTTGGCCGAAGGGTGTTGTGTGTTCCGCCAACAAGTCCAATTCGTGTAAATTAGTTATTTAGTTTTTATATTATATTTTTATATTTTATTACATGCATATTTGTAATATTTAAGGTATATATTATATGGGCCATAGCTGCCTCATTTAAATAAATAATATTACCGCGGAACGAACTCCCTGTCGGGGTTTCCCCGCAAGAATATAGCAGGGAATCCTTCAAATAGGGTTTGAAAAGGGTCCTGCAGGCGTCCATAGGTGATGGTGACCGCTTTCCATCAGGCGTGCCATATGCTAGTTTGCTGCCTACATAACGTAAAAAACATAGTTAAAATAAATATTGCTTTACTCATTTCAGAGGTCAAATTATGATAGATATCCCAAAAAATTGCACCGCGCGATTTGTGATAGGGATGACCTGCCGCTTCGACCAAGCGGTTAGAATGCTGAGGTGGAACGACAGTGGCCACTCAATGCCCATATGGGGAACTACATCTACGTATACTACTTAATTCATGACAAAAAACCGTAACAGATTCCGTGCCTCGTCTTTGTGTTAATCTTCTTAACCTTTTTAAACGAAATTTACTCCCACGGAAAGATGTGAAAGGTTCTATTTGTAACCAAAAACCCTGCGGCAGACACAGTAAATAATTAATGTGTATCATCGAACAAAAACCAAGTCATGGTTGTCATGTACAAGAAAATTGCATTTGACAAACCCAACACAAGAAGTATTAACAAGCATTTGGCCCAAATTAAGGCGTCACTTAAAATGTCTGTCGCATGCGACGAAACGCTACAACACGACAAAACAAATGAGAGCGAAATGACGTGCGACAAAATGACAAGAGACAAAATTAACACGTGTCGCGTATTCAGCGTGTCATGTCATTTGTCAAAACGAAATGAGCTATGTAACGTGTTTAGTAATTGTTAATGTTTTAACACATTGTCCTTTTTGACTTTTAACGTCAAAGAATTTTGAGAGAGTGATAATAGATAGAAAAAAGTAATGTGTCATTTTTTATAAAGAACATTTTGATGGCATGCATTCTAATTTGCGGCACATTTAACGGAACAAAAAAAGTGAGAATATGAAATGGTAACGTTTATATTTAAAAAATTAAGAATTAGACGTTAAATAGCAATTTAACTCCGCCTTCTGCTTTGCACCATCGGGGGACTAGACTTAGGCTGGAGTTCTACCCTTATGTTCGTATAAATGAAATTTATATGACGAACGGCAACGGAGTGGAATGGAATCCTTGCCTGCAGACTTATTCCTTGAACGCTAACTTGAAGCTTTTAAGGCGTAAGTGAATAAACATTGTTTAGACGCGACTCTCCATATTGTTTTAACTAGTACACAATCTTACACAGCTTTCATTGAAAAAGAAAATGTAAATTAAACGAATGCATTTTTTTAAATATTTTGTAGACGCAGAGACGGCCGAAAATTTAACAACTGTAACAATTTAACATTAATTTTAATAAATAAATAATGTATTATTAGGAAATTAAACAAATGAATGAAAAAAATGACGGTCGGTTAAGTTGTCATTTTCATATTACACCTAAAGTATAAAAGTAAAATTGCCGAACAAACTTTTGAAAAACTGCATTATTTTGTGGATTTTACTAGTATGCCGTTAAATGTGCTAGTGTGTGTTTTATTTTATGAATACGAATGCATCACTACTTTATTTAGGCTTTTGAACTAAATGAATATTTGTAGTATCTATCTCTTAAATAGTTATATCAAGAGTAAAGTTTAATTATATTAATATTGCTAACTGAAAGAGAAGAAAAAACAGAATACCTTCTTAATACTGCTTGCTTTATAGGTTCAAGTTGTGTTTGTGATGTATCTGTAACAAGTAAAGATGCAATTAATATATTACAGTGAATCCGCAAAGCAAAACAGAAGACCAAAATGGCAAAAATTTCAAAATATTTATAAGTATAGTTACTACTACATCTTTGTACGGTCCATGCCTTAAGAGACCTGACCCCCTAACCGTCTATTTAGTTCTGAATTTCTGAGTAGATCAGTGGGAAGAAAGATTTTAAATAAAATTAACCTGTGAGCCGTAAAATTCATTTTGTTATGACTTCCATATTGCATCATTAGTGAATGATGTTTTAAGAAATTGTTTTAGCCAATTTGATGTTTACTTATATAAATGTTGACCAAAAAGCTGGAGTTCCTTTACACGTTGAATGTGTAAGAAGGCTCTCAGACCCAAAGTCGACGAAGACGTCGACTGTACATGACATGTAAAAAGTTAAAGTAGATTTGAAATACTGTTCTATAAGATAATTTATTATTGGTACTTAATTTGTGTGGGAGATACAGACTCAACAATTAATCAAGTACAGGCGCCGAGGTAAATCCTTGATTATGGCCCGACTTCCATAATACATACCAATTAAAATAAGTTTAAATGCGTAAATATTATTATTGCAAGTGCAACTAAAGTTCAATACATAGCATAGTTAATGTTAGCTGCAGCAAGGGATCTTTAATTTGTAAAAGGCTACAGAGATGTTACTGCGGAAAGCAATTTTTTTTTTGTGGTAAGCGACACTAGAAGGCAGAGGACATTAAATTTTTCAGTGTATATTTGATGCTATTTCAATTAAGATAAGGTATAAATTGAAATACTCTTGAGACAGAAGTAAGAGCATCGCAACGTATTTCTCTCTGCTAGAAATTTCTGAGGAAGAAATCACTTAGGTATCCGCTATTTGTATAACACATAGTACGTACATCGAAATGGATAGAACACTGACATTATACTGACACTGATTGTTTTGGACTACGTTCGCGAAATAAATCTCCTCTGGATTGTTATTAGGTACAGGAAAAGGTCACATACAAAATTGAATTTCGTAACCCTTAAAATTATTTAAGTTCCACAAAATAAAATCTAGACACATTACAGCGGAAGCCGGTCAAACCAGTCAAGAAATATTCTTTTGTTTTGCTTTACATTTTTACGAGCTTTATGTGCATTGAAATATTGACTTTCTTCCCCAGTACTTTAGATGAAAATTGGTTGCAAAAGCAACGATTTTGCAGTATGGCGTATTGAAAACAAAAACTTGAGAGAATAATATATAGGAAATGAAATGATGTTTCCGGATCTAAAGATCCGTTTTTTTTTTATACAAAAAATAATTGCGTATTTGACCACCATTTCACCTGATGGAAAGTGAGGATAGGTCGACGATATGTAGCATGCACATCTAAATAATGCCTATTCACTCTTGCCTTGAAAAAGTCCAAGTTATTACGTTCGGGGAATAAGTCCGCAGGCAGGGAATTATGCTCCCTAGCCGCTCGCCATATGAATATATAATTAAAGTATATTCTGAATCCTTCAGGATATTAGTTTTTTATATTGCCTTATTGCTTAAAATTTTAGCTAATTCAGTCTGTTACATCGAAAAATATCAAGATTTACTTTCAAAACGGATCAGCGTATCTATTTTACACCTCGGGCATCTTATTCATATAATATCAATATGTTATACTGAATTTAAGTATCAATACTAAGCATTCAATTCTGTTATATCAAATCGTTTAACCGATAAGAGCAACAAACAACGCAGCAGGGGATCTCACGTATTAGTTCATTTTGTAGTGTTTGTCATAAACTGTACCTTACCTACATTGGAGCTGCGATTAAAATCCTATTTTATTGACATGTAGGTTTTAAGCTTAGCCTTTAATGTGACTCGGCTTACGTGACCTTAAGAAAATACTGGTAGTACAGTCAGTTTATATGTCGTAGAAAGAGGTCTAAGAAAAGTTTTTCAGAATACTGCTATATCGATAAAAGCCTAATTTTAGGACTTAATAGAGAAAAACAAAGAAATGAAGTCCACTCAGTTAATTAAGGTTCATCATCATCGTCATCTACAGCCTGATTTCACCCACTGCTGGGTATAGGCCTCTAGGGGTCTTGTGCTAGTCGCATCCACTGCCGCCCCGCGACGCGTACTATGTCGTCGACCCACCTTGTAACAGGGCGCCTGACGTGTCAATTAAGGTTGCCTGGAAGAAATTGCTAGTGTTTTGGCTTACTCTGTGATACTTACATTACTATTCTGTGTTGTCATTGTTATTTTAATGTGCAATTAAGAATATTCAATTCATTCATTCATTTAGCAAAATACCGGGTACACACTAGCGAGTTGTAACCATAACCGTTGCATGTTATGTTACCAAAAATCACAGTGTGTACGTAGTACGGTGGTATATCAATTTTTTTATTTAGTGCCTGTGACTGCCGGCCGCATCGTGCAACCTACCTTCGCAATTACTATAGTTAATTCATCTCAACTCGTACGATTTTTATTTTTGTCTACGAACATTAATTCTGTTAACGCACAGTGACTGGTGATTGTTAGCTTCCCACCAAACAAGCAGGTCGTATAAGTGACATCTTATACGGCTGTTAGTCATGTAAGTGTTTTATAGAGGTATAAATAAGTATTTTTTTTTTTCGCAAAGAGCCAACGATAACCAGGTACTCATTCTAGCGAGTGAGACTATTTCACGCAAAGAATCTCGTTTTAACCAACATTTAACTACCCCAAACTGCATATGTCACGTTGCAGTTACAACTCGCTTATGAGTACCCGGTTTTAAAGAAGTATTCGAGTATTATTATCATATTAAATAATGCTACATGATATTATTGTAGAACGTTTAAATAATGAACATTTATACCGAAATTGGGAAGAGAAAACTAACCGAAAATTGCCCAAAATTATACGAAGACTTATACCAAATTTACAACACAAAAATGAAATAAATTCATTTAGCACCATCCAACATATTACATATGTATGTCCCTTATGAGCAGAGAATGAATTTTTTGGAAATGTCCATTACGAAATCAATGAATTATAGATTACAGAGCATGATATCAATGATATCATGCTCTGCAATACTTGAAAACGTGATGTTCTCAGTATCATAGAAATATCCCAGATCTCTTTTATCTATCTCTAGTCCCCACCTAATTTAGGTTTCCATCATCCATTCTCGAGAATGTCTTCCCATTACAACAGTTAATCTACAAAACAACCTGAGCTGGATATCTTCAACGATACCTAAAAAATGTTTAAAACAAAACTGTAGACAATACTTTGAAGCCGCATCATAATAATTTCTAATACCATATTTGATTAGTTTCTATGTGTTTTAAGTTTTTTATATAATGTTTGTTTTGTTGAACGATTTTTGGTTTTGTTTTTATATATTTCATAATATTTTCCTTCTTTAATTAACATATAAACCCACTTAGTACGTAGGCACATCATCATCATATCAGCCGGAAGAAGTCCACTGCTGATCATAGGCCTCCCCCAAAGATTTCCAGACTAGTCGATCGGACGCGACGTGTATCCATCGGTTACCCGCCGCTCTTACCAGGCCATCCGTCCATCTAGTAGGGGGCCGTCCCACTGAACGCCCTCCGGTTCGTGGTCTCCATTCGAGAACCTTTCTGCCTCAACGGCCGTCAAGACTGCGAGCTATGTGCACTGCCACTTCAACTTGCTAATCCTTTGAGCTATGTCGGCGTGACTTTCGTTCTTCTACGGATCTCCTTATTTCTGATTCGATCGCGTAGAGAAATGCCGAGCATTGCTCGCTCCATAGCTAGGCATAGGCTAGCATAGGCATATGCATAAGAACAATTCCTCTTACATTAAGATATGGAACCTTTTTGTACAAAACCAAATTTATTCTGTTAATATACCTTTATAAATAAATAAATAAACGCGTAAATGCAAATATAAATTCGAACGGAGCAAAACGGCCGACTACAAAGATAAGTTTGTAGCACAACGTACACACAAATGCAAACATTATGATTTGTGATAATTACGTTTCAACGGGAATGAAGGAATAATACGTTCATAAATATGACGATAAAGGCGATTTAGTTGGATTTAAATGTTACAATAATATGTTTAGTGCTCTCGAAGAGTCCTAAAGCAACATAGTGTGTGGGAAACTGAGTTTATGGCACTTTGATATAAGATCGTGTTAAGTGTGTTGCGACGTAGAGTCGGTAACAGCCCGGGTGTTTAATGCAATGTCGTATCATAATATTGTGTAACATCGTACAGAAAAAATACTGTCCAGTATGTAGTAAAAAATAAACTAAGAATAACGACGTTTGTAAAATTATATAATGGATGAAAATGATAGTGGTTAAAATAGTAAAATAATCAATAATTATCAGAAAACATTGCTATTCAAAATTACCCTACACTATAGAAGAATTGTTTAATGACAAGGAAATATGATCCCTCTTAATTCCTAAATACGTAATAACATAATTAGTAAGTATGTAAATAATTAATTTATTAAAATATTGCTTTAGTTTATTAAATATTTTACTATTTAAAACAATTTAAGATTTTTTGTGGCATAAAATTTAATTTATATTTTTATTTTTAATACTGAACGTCAAAATAAAGTAGCATCTATACCATTATTGACACTTCATTATATATTCTTGTTTGAATAGTCTCCGTTTGGAATTTGCAACTATGTAAGTGCCACTTATGCGGAATTAAGATATGGAACTGCCCACATATTCAAATTATGTTTGCCTATCTGCACTTTAATGAAGTGTCTACAATAAACGGCATAAAATGGGCACTACCTTGAAATAACTCCGAGTACACGCCACCCGCGATCTCAACTAAGTTAAGACATCAAACAAGGATCAAAAGTGAGTAGAGATTACACAAAAATCCAATCCAGTTAGCACATGTTTTGTGGACTAAAAGCCGGCTTTGTGTTGGTGCCGAGTACGAGTATAATCAGAGCCAATATTTGGGC